GTGGGGCTCGATCCCAGGACCTGAGATCATGACCTGAGCCGAAGGCAGAGGCTTTAACCCACTGAGCCACCCAGGCGCCCCTCAAAAGTATTTTTTATGTCATTAAAAGCTCATTGTTGACCACGTGTTGGCAATTATTGAAGCTGGGGACTAGGTATCTGTACGTGAGAGTTATTATACTGCTTTCTCTACTTTTATATATGTTGCAAAAAAAGGATAAAAGAAAGATAATTATAAACATAACTTTAATGACCACTTTTAGGGCACCTGGGTGGCTCAGTCGGTTAAGCGTCTGACTTTGGCTCAGGTCATGATCTCAGGATCAAGTCCCACGGGGGTCTCTGCTCAGCGGGGAGTCTGCTTCTCCCTCTCACTCTCCTCTATGCTCTCCATCCACTCTCTCTCTCACACGTAAATAAGTAAAGTGGCTCCGGGGTGTCTCAGTGGTTAAGCCTCTGCCTTCAGCTCAGGTCATGATCTTAGGGTCCTGGGATCAAGCCCCGCATCGGGCTCTCTGCTCAGCAGGAAGCCTGTTTCCCTTCCTCTCTCTCTGCCTGCACGTAACCTCTGTCTGTCAAATAAATAAAATCCTTTAAAAAAAAAAGGAAAATAAATAAAATCTTTTTTAAAATGACCACTTTTATTCCAATAAGTGGACATAAAATTTTTTAAGCATTCTCATTTATTTTTTGCTATTATAAGTAAAATTTATATCTAAAAATAAAGTAAAATACATGTCTGTGTATAGGATTTTTCTCCCTTAGAATAAGCTGCATGATCATTTATTATGAAATTGATTCTAGTCTGTCCCTGTTGTCTTTTTGGTCTTTTCCTTCAAGGTGTTTCCTCCCTTCAGACTTGTTCCAGAGAAAATGACACTGATCCCAGCTAACATGATGCAGGTGATCTCAAAGTCAGGAAATGCGATTTACCCTTTCTTCTCACCCTGCTCTGCCCCACCCTCCACATGTGTGCACGCCCTTCTTCCTACTGGCATCCTCTTGTCTACTCCTGCCAAGTACAGCAGGACCTGATAAAGAAGAAAATTAGTACTTTCACGTCCCCTAATGAACAGGGTATAACCTGCCTCTGGGAACACATAGATCATATGTGGCACTTGTGTTTCTTCTACATATGAGTTGCTGTGGGATATGTCCATTGGGAAGTGGCGGGGAGTAAGGGGTTGAATTGCTTGGACAAAATGTTGGGAAAAGAGATGGGATTTCTCCCCATGTTCCAGGCATTTGCTTGCATGTTTCAATTCTAGGTAATGTCTGAAGGTGGCCCCCAGCCCCAATCTATCATTCACTTCTCTATCAGTAACCAGACTGTGGCTGTTGTGAATAGGCGGGGGCAAGTCACGGGGAAGGTAGTTGGCACAGCTGTGGTCCATGGCACCATCCAGACAGTAAATGAAGATACTGGCAAAGTCATTGTGTTTTCCCAGGTATTGGTTCTTTGCTCTGCTTCCACTTTTCTTTTTTCTTTCTTTCTTTTTTTTTTTTTAAAGATTTTATTTATTTATTTGTCAGAGAGAGAGAGGGAGAGAGAGCGAGCACAGGCAGACAGAATGGCAGGCAGAGGCAGAGGGAGAAGCAGGCTCCCTGACGAGCAAGGAGCCCGATGTGGGACTCGATCCCAGGACGCTGGGATCATGACCTGAGCCGAAGGCAGCTGCTTAACCAACTGAGCCACCCAGGCGTCCCTGCTTCCACTTTTCTATCTGGGAACCAAATTGGGACATGTGGGGTCATGAGGGAGGGTGTCAGTAGCTCAGAAAAACCCTTTGAGTCCCTTACCTGGCGTTCTCTTAACCAAGCATGGGAAGTATATAGTCTTTAGTGAAAACCCCACAGAGTATTGGCATTGGTATAAGACCTAGTCCCTATCTTTAGGAACTGTTTAGGGAACAAAAACAAGCACATCTACTGGCATTTTTTTTGCTGAATGCCCCAGACAACCACAGGCTAGTTAGCGTAAGTGCCCTCTGCCCCGCACAGACTCCCTCTTAGCCTGTGCTTGCTTCTACCCGTGGGGCAGGATGAAGTGCGCGTTGAAGTGGTCCAGCTCAGGGCCGTGAGGGTCCTTGCAGCCACCACTCGACTCATCACAGCGACTGAGGTCAGTAAGGCGGCTCTGTTCTCGGCGCGCTCTGGCAATGCCAGCTGGGCAGGACATACAGCACATACATCTTCTTTTCAGATGCCAGTTTATGTCATGGGAGTGACCAGTACCCAGACCCCTTTCTCCTTCAGCAATGCCAACCCTGGACTCACATTCCATTGGTCCATGAGCAAAAGGGACGTATTGGATCTAGTACCCAGGCATTCAGAGGTATGAATGTATCTCTTTGTTATATCATCTCAGGGACATTGATAGTAAATTCACCTTATTTCATCAAGTTTGAGACTGATTTCACTTTCTAAACTACACAGTATTACTATTTATCTCCTTTTCCCTTTGTTCTCTGAACTCTAGAAACCTATAAATCGTATGAAGAGCTCAATTGGAGTACTCAGATAATTCTATGTAATTTTTAATATACTTTGCTAGAACGAGTTCTCAAAAAAAAAGTTTCCTTTAATATTGTATTTGTGAGCATTTGACTGTGTTCCATGAGCAATAACATGTCACGAATACAAGGTGTGTGCACATGCTTCATGGCCGGGCTTCGCTTCACTGCATGCCACAGATCCTGCAAGTTTTTACAAACGGAAGCTTTGTAGCAACCACAAGTCTATTGGTGCCATTTTTTCTTTTTTAAAGATTTTTATTTATTTGACAGACAGATCACAAGTAGGCAGAGAGAGAGAGAGAGAGAGAGAGAGGAGGAAGCAGGCTCCCTGCTGAGCAGAGAGCCTGATGCGGGGCTCGATCCCAGGACCCTGGGATCATGACCTGAGCCGAAGGCAGAGGCTTCAACCCACTGAGCCACCCAGGCGCCCCAATAAAATATTTTTAATTAAGATATGTACACTGTTTTAGACATAATGCTATTTATTACATACCTAATAGACTAACAGTGTAGTGTAAACATAACTTTTATGTGCACTGGAAAGCCAGAAAACTCATTTTATTTGCTTTATTGCAACATTTGCTTTACTGTGGTGGCCTAGAGCTGAACCTGCAGTAGCTTTGAGGTGAGCCTGTGCTCTGTGATAAATGAAAAGAGCTCTGACATCTTAATGCACACAGCATTGAGCCTTACTGAGAAACCCGGAAAAGATAAGAAGAAGGAAAGAAAAAGGAAGAAAGAAAAAGAAAAAAAGAAAGAAAGAAAAGAAAAGAAGGAAAGGAAGAAAGAAAAAAAAGGGGGGGGTACGTTCCAGACAGCTGACTGAGATCTACTAACGGAAATGGAAAATTTTCTGTAGGGGAGGATTTTGGAAGTTGGGACTTTGTGAGTCAAGAGAGCAAGAAAGGTCTTGAGGGCTCTGGACAGCAAAAGGGCAGGAGAAAGAGGACTTGAAATGAGTGCCCCAAAGGTAGGCAGGTGTCTCCTCCAATACCTGTCTTAATGTTGGCCCTGCCTTCCCCATGGCCTTATCCAGTCTGGGCCACAGTGGTGGGGAAGCAGTAGGGATACATCCACCGGGGTGAGCATAGTCCTGAAATAGCTCTGCCTTCCTTGCCACCACTCTGAACTCCAGGGGTAGATTGTCTCAGTTCTCCCAATTTCAGTTCTATCTAAAGCCATTTTAGAAATGCCTTCCTTCATTTTCATTCTTCTGTCTATGGATTGACTTCAGGATAACATGAGACTCAGGAAACCTGTGTGACTCAGTGGGTTAAGCCTCTGCCTTTGGCTCAGGTCTTGATCCCAGGGTCCTGGGATCAAGCCCCACCATCAGGCTCCCTGCTCAGTGGGGAGCCTGAATCCCCCTCTCTCTCTGCCTGCCTCCCTGCCTACTTGTGATCCCTCTCTCTGTCAAATAAATTTTAAAAACTTAAAAAAAAAAAGACTTAAAAAAAAATAACATGAGACTTTCACAGAGGCTTGCCAGAATTAGTTGAGTGCTATACTTGGAGTTTACTTTAGGGGTGACTGTGTTGCTGGGAATATGAAAAGAAGTAACCACGAAAATAATCCCTGGTACTCTAGTTCTTTTCTACAGATCTATCTAGCATACATTTTCTTTTTTCTTTTTTTTTTTTGTGATTTTGTTTTTAATTATCTTGAGTCTTATCATATAATTTACAAATTTGTGCTGATGATATATCTCCTCTATTTTAACCCTTCTAGCAAGTTAGCAAAAGGACCATTACCAATCTACATATGTGGTATTTCCACAGTTGTGTCTCTGAATAGCTGTTTAGAAGACAATCCTGAATTATAACTTAGTCTGATTTAGTGGATAATTCACAATCCATGTATGCTGCTATATCCTCTCACACTGAATTTTAAAAGCATCTGACCTTAGATCTATCAAATGAGAAGTGTTAAATACTCTTTATTTAATATTATACATAAACCACACTAAAATGCCTTTCATTAAGCAAAAGGCAACATTTTAGATGCAGGAAATTTTAATTAAATTGGATAGTTAAGAAAAAAAAAAGTGGACACTGCCAGCTTATCTTCAACCCTTGCCTTTAACAGGCTAATGAACACAACCTGAAACACAGCTCAGTCTTGCTGGTTCTGAGACAGTGAAGGGATTTCCTCAGTATTTAAATATATTAATATAACCAGTTATATAAATCTAAATATAAAACCAATCTCCTATAAGTTTAAAGATGGCATTTACCACCTCTGTGAAAAGCTGAACATTACTAATCAATTCCGATCATATTTTTTTTTTTTTTTTTTAAAGATTTTATTTATTTATTTGACAGAGAGAAATCACAAGTAGGCAGAGAGGCAGGCAGAGAGAGAGGAGGAAGCAGGCTCCCTGCTGAGCAGAAAGCCCGATGTGGGGCTTGAACCCAGGACCTGGGATCATGACCTGAGCTGAAGGCAGCGGCTTAACCCACTGAGCCACCCAGGCGCCCCCTCCGATCATATTTTTAAAAGGGGAAAACTGACAGCACTTGCTGAACCAGAATTACTATCAAAGTTCAAAAAGCTGATCATATTCATTTAACCACAAGCCAACCTTATTTAAATCAGGACTGTCCAAAAGAAATATTCTATCAGCCATTCATGATCTGAATTCTGGTGTATGAGATCAATTGAACACATAAAGTCATGAAACATTTTTGTTTTGCAATAAATAAGGCAATGGCCAACTATTACTCCTTAGTAGCTTTTTTGAGATAAGCTATCAAGTCTGCTCTTTCCTCTGTCTTCTTAATGCCAGCGAAGATCATTTTTGTCCCAGGGATGTACTTCTTGGGATTCTCCAAATACTCCATCAGTGTCTCCTCTCCCCAGGTGATGCCTTTATTCTTGTTGGCATCGGTGTAAGAAAATCCAGGGGCCTGACCTGTCTTTCGGCCAAATAAACCATGCAGATTTGGCCCAGTCTTGTGCTTGCCTCCCTTTTCCACGGTATGGCACTGGGCACACTTCTGAACAAAAATCTTCTTGCCCTTCTCAACATCACCCATTTTTAAATCGCCCGCTATGGCCTCCGCGCCGCGCGCTCACCGCTCTTTCCCGCGCGCGAAACGAAGGTGTCCGCTCGCAAGCCGGACGTCCCGCTCTCTCTCTCTCTTTTTTTTTTAAGATTTTATTTATTTATCTGACAGACATCACAAGTAGGCAGAGATGCAGGCAAAGAGAGAGTGGAAGAGAAGCAGGCTCCCCACTGAGCAGAGAGCCCGATGTGGCGCTCGATCCCGGGACGCTGGGATCATGACCTGAGCGGAAGGGAGAGGCCTTAACCGACTGAGCCACCCAGGCGCCCCCAGCATACATTTTCTTTATTGTTACAAGACCGGGGGAAGAGCAGACTGATTTTATTTTTTTTCAGATTTTATTTATTTGACAGGCAGAGATCACAAGCAGGCAGAGAGGCAGACAGAGAGGAGGAAGCAGGCTCCCCGCTGAGCAGAGAGTCTGACACGGGGCTCGATCCCAGGACCCTGGGCTTATGACCTGAGTGGAAGGCAGAGGCTTTAACCCACTGAGCCACCCAGGCGCCCCGAGCACAGTGATTATTAATGAATATTTCTTTTTTTTTTTTTTTTTTTTTTAAGATTTTATTTATTTATTTGACAGAGAGAGATCACAAGTAGATGGAGAGGCAGGCAGAGAGAGAGAGAGAGGGAAGCAGGCTCCCCGCCAAGCAGAGAGCCCGATGCGGGACTCAATCTCAGGACCCTGAGATCATGACCTGAGCCGAAGGCAGCGGCTTAACCCACTGAGCCACCCAGGTGCCCCTTAATGAATATTTCTTAATCCATTCCTGACTGTTTTCCAGGTTTTTCTACAGCTCCCAGTAGAAAATAACTTCGCCATGGTTGTCCACACAAAAGCAGCTGGTCGGACCAGTATCAAAGTCACTGTCCGCTGTATGAACAGTTCCTCTGGGCAGCTTGAGGGGAATTTATTAGAATTGTCTGATGAAGTTCAGATTCTGGTAAGGTCCCAAACCTAAATTTTGTTTTTACATATCAAGGAGAAGAAAGTTATATTCTCTTATCATCCATGTGGAGCTTGGTCATGATAGAGGTAGAGAAAGTGCTAGAGGGAGCCCTAGAACAGGCTCATAGTTTCTAGAGCTTTGTCATTCTTCCTAATTGCATCTATATAAGTACTGATATTAGAAACTGTAAGAACATGCACTCCCCTTACCTCCCCACACAATAAACACAGGATACGAAAGCAGAATAATTAAAGAGGGACTCATTTCCGAGCTGCTCTGCCTAACACAGATATTGTGATACCATCCACTTAGGGTATCTAACCCTAACTTCCAGGAGGGTGAAGAGCATGGATGGATGGTTTCTACAGGTGTTCTCAGGCTGAAAGCTAACTGGCCCTATTGTTTTTAGTGTTCAAAAGAAAAGTGATCATCTGTGGAAAGCGAATAAGTTTCTCTGCCTCTGAATTTAGGACTGATTTTTTTTTCTTTTTCTATTCTCCTTTATTTTGGTTTTGTTTCTCTGATTCAGTGAGGGGCAGAGGAAAGTAGAAAGTACCAGGAAGTAGAAAACCTGAATAATGTTCCTTCCTAATTTATTATTGTAGGTTTTAGTTCTCAAATCTCTTTTCAGGTAGCCAGAGCTAAAGTTAGAAATTTCAAAATTATTTTATACCTAATATCTAAGTGATACAGAGGATGTGGTCAGTCAGTGTGGCTTCATCAGGAGCGGGGCTGATATTAGATTTGTGTTCTAGAACACCGAGGCATGTTTTAAATGTCGGGCTCATATGAAAAAGAGTGTTGTGGGCCCTCAGGCCAAGCTAAAGTGATGTAGATGTTGATTTGTAGTTGATACGTGAGCAAAGGTTATAGTTTTGTCTTTTCCAGAAATGAGGAAGACATTATTTTCTCACTTTAGGTGTTTGAGAAACTCCAACTGTTCTTTCCGGAGTGCCAGCCTGAGCAAATTCTGATGCCCATGAATTCCCAGCTCAGACTCCACACCAACAGGTGAGGAATTAGGGAAGGGCAGGCCAGGTTCCAACCTTACCGTTAGGAACATGGAAAGAACTCTTGCCTTCTAGGTGATTTTTCTAATCCATAAATAAGATTTTTTAGCTGAAGTGAAATTCATGTTACATAAAATTAACCATTTAAAAAAAATTTTTTAAGACTTTAGAGAGGTGGGGCGCCTGTAAATAAATAAATAAAATCTTAAAAAAAAAAAAAAAGATTTTAGGGGCGCCTGGGTGGCTCAGTGGGTTAAGCCTCTGCCTTCCACTCAGGTCATGATATCAGGGTTCTGGGATCGAGTCCCGCATCGGGCTCTCTGCTCAGCAGGGAGCCTGCTTCCCTCTCTCTCTGCCTGCCTCTCTGCCTACTTGTGATCTCTCTCTCTCTGTCAAATAAATAAAATCTTTAAAAAAAAAAAAAAGATTTTTAGAATGAGAGAGCACAGCACGGGGAGGGGCAGCAGGCAGAGGGAGAAGCAGGATCCCCACTGACCAAGGAGCCCGATGTGGGACTCAATCCCAGGACCCAGGAATCATGACCTGAGCCGAATACTTAACCAACTGAGCCACCCAGGCACCCCCAAATTAACCATTTTATTTATTTTTTAAAGATTTTATTTATTTATTTGACAAAGAGATAGAGCACAAGTAGGCAGAGAGGCAGGCAGAGGGAGAGAGAGAGAAACAGGCTCTCCTCTGAGCAGGGAGCCCAACATGGGGCTCGATTCCAGGACCCCAAGACCATGACCTGAGCCAAAGGCAGACGGCTAATAACTGAGCCACCCAGGCGCCCCAGATTAACCACTTTAAAGTGGACGATTTCGTGGCATTTAGTGCATCACAGTATTGCGCAACCCTCACCTCTGTCTAGTTCCAGGACATTTTCATCACCACCAAAGGAGACCCTACCCATCAGCAGTCACGCTAACCTATTTATTTGAGAGACAGAGAGGGAGCGAGAGCAAGCATGAGTACGGGGAGGGGCAGAGGGAGAGGGAGAAGCAGACTCCCTGCTAAGTATGCAGCCTGACATGGGGCTCGATCCCAGAACCCTGAGATCATGACCTGAGCCACCCAGGCGCCCCTATTTCATTCCTTTTAATGACTAAATCATATTCTGCGGTATGGCTACAACATACTTAGTTTATCCATTCATCTGTTGTTGGACATTTGGGTTGTTTTTACCTTTGACTCTTGTGAATATTACGCTACTATGAATAATCACACAGAACTATTTATTTTAATATCTGTCTCAATCCTTTTAGCTGAATTTTAAATTTATTTTTATTTTATTTTATTTTTTTTAAAGATTTTATTTATTTATTTGACAGAGAGAGATCACAAGTAGACAGAGAGGCAGGCAGAGAGAGAGAGAGAGAGAGAGAGGGAAGCAGGCTCCCTGCCGAGCAGAGAGCCCGATGCGGGACTCGATCCCAGGACCCTGAGATCATGACCTGAGCCGAAGGCAGCGGCTCAACCCACTGAGCCACCCAGGCGCCCTTAAATTTATTTTTATTATTTTTTTAAAGATTTTATTTATTTGAGAGAGAGAGCAGGGAGAGAGAGCACGAGTGAGGGTGGAGGGGCAGAGGGAGGAGATACAAACTCCCCACTGAGCAGAGAGCCCGATGTGGGGCTCAATCCCAGGACCCCTGGGATCATGACCTGAACGGAAGGCAGATGCTTAACTGACTGAGCCACCCAGGAGCCTCTAGCTGAATGATTTTTAATGATAAATATGTAGTAGGATATGATTTTTAGAGAGATAGGCATAATCTGAACGCAGACTTTTACTTGAGGAACAAATAAGCATATAACATGGAGAACGGCAAGTGGCTTCCTCAGAGTACAGTTTCTAACAGTAACCCCGTCGGTCTCCTTTCTTTCTGGTCAGAGCCCCCGAGATGCCACCTGTTCCATTTGTTCCCTAGGGAAGGGGCCGCCTTTGTGAGTTCCCGTGTTCTCAAGTGTTTCCCTAATTCATCTGTCATCGAGGAGGACGGTGAAGGGCTCCTGAAAGCTGGTTCCATTGCAGGTACTGCTGTGTTGGAAGTCACGTCTGTAGAACCTTTTGGAGTCAACCAGACAACCATAACTGGAGTCCAGGTGAGTTCAGGGACTTGCTCAAGAAAAAATAAAAGGAATACCATGGCCTGAAGGGGCAGATTTCCTGATTTCAGAACTAGGAACTTCCCTGGGAGTCAGAACGAGCTGTAAGATAGAAGACAGTCTTGACATGGATATAAGCCATCAAATTAAAAGTGGCCTTTAGAGCCCTTGTTATAAGAGGGATCAGCCTCAAATTGGTGCACTTCTGAGCAGTGTGGACAAAAGGGTGTGGGGAAAGGTAGAACTATTGCTACCAAAATTAGGCTTTGTTACTAGAATTTAAAAATTTAGTCTAACATAGAGGGCCTGGGTGGCACATTCAGTTAAGCATCCAACTCTTGGTTTTGGCTCAGGTCATGCTCTCAGGGTTGTTAAGATCGAACCCTGTGTCAGGCTCCATGCTGGGGATGGAGTTTGCTTGAGATTCTCGCTCTCCATGGGTTGCCTGGGTGGCTCAGTTGGTTAAGCCTCTGCCATCGGCTCAGGTCATGATCCCAGGGTCCTGGGATTGAGCCCCACATCGGGCTCTCTGCTCAGTGGGGAGCCTGCTTCTCCCTCTCATTCTCTCTCTGTGCTCTCTCTCTCTCTCAAATAAATAAATAAAAATTTAAAAAAGATTTTATTTATTTTACAGTGAGAGAGGGAACACAAGCAGGGGGAGTGGGAGAGAGAGAAGCAGGCCTCCTGCCAAGCAGGGAGCCTGATGTGGGTGGGGCTTGATCCCAGGACTCTGGGATCATGACCTGAGCCAAAGGCAGAGGCTTAATGACGGAGCCACCCAGGTGCCCCAATAAATAAAATCTTAAAAAAAAAAAGTATTCTCTCTTCCCTTCTGCCCCTCCCCCTGCTTGTCCGTGTGCACTTTCTTTCTCAAGTAAATAAAATCTTAAAAAGAAAGTTCCAACTTCTCTCCACATTCTCTCAGCTTTAATA